AATTGAATTGAATTGAATTCATTAAACTTGGCGAGTAGAAAGCTATCTTTAGCTGAATCCTTAATAAGTCGCGTGTCCTTTGAGCCCTCACAGTGAAGGACTTGAACGTCTCTTCTCACACTGTCGACTGCAGTTTCCTGTCAGTGTTGAGCTGATGGAAGCCGACAGTTCTGATTTAAAGTGGAAACGGCTCGCAGACCGCAGGTTTACACGAACTGAGGACGGTCCTGGAGGCCGGCGGACGTTCAGGAACTGAAACATGTTTGTGTTTGTTTATCGTTTCAGTGTCTCAGCTCTTGAATGCAGCGCCGTGTAACAGCTGGTTTGATTTACCGCATATCAGATTTTATCAGTGGCTCATGAACGCAGCCAGTGAGGAAGAGGAGGAGGAAGCAACCACACACATCTTTAAAAGGTTGAATCAAATAACCAACAGCCCTCACTGTGGAAGTATATATGAATATATAATAATAAAAGAACAAGTTCAGGTTATTTTGGTTGAGTATTGTTGTTTATTGTCTTAATGAGATATTACAGATATTAATATTGAGCTGATGGAACCAGAAACAACTCCTCAGTGTTTATTTTGCTGTTTGTGTCTTATTGAAGGATTTTATTTTGGCTAATATTAGCTTTCAGATGTAACTAGCTAGGTAATAATTGATGTAGATTAGCTCGCTTGTTAGCTCGTGGTTTGTGCTGCTAACTAACCAGCTAACTGGTGTAATAATTGTTAGCTAATTATCTGGGTTCAGTAGAATCTAAAGAAGTTAACGATGGAAAGTTTTACCATAAAACACGATGTTATTCTACAACATTTATATTTTAATTAACTCAAATTTCACTCTAAAAACCTTCATGATGAAAAGATCCTGAACACACCACCATGTAAATATTTAGTCACTGTCACAGCGCCACCTCCTGGCAACAGGAAGTATGCTTATAAGGGAATCACCATCTGAGTTTAACCTTTTTCTTTGTTTAGTGAAATATGAGATTTCTGAATGAAACTGAAACTGAGAGAAAGTTTGAGAGGAAATAAACATATTATTTACATATTATTAACATCTTATTAACATATTATAAAGATTATTGTTCAACTTTGAGCCCTAACCTGTAATAATAATCCATCATACATACAATATATAATAATGATAGAAGCTTTAAACACTCAGTACTTTTACTGGAGGAGTCCCCCCCCCCCGGTGTCTGATGTCTCGCCCCTCCTCCTCCTCTGCTTTATAAACCAGTCCCCGTCCCGGATCCTGGAGGGACCACTGGGCTGCGGAGAGGACGAAGAGGACAAAGAGGAAGAAGACAGAAAGAGAAAAAGAGGAAGAAGAGCAGGATTTTTCACTTTGATTCAAGATGAAAGTGTGCGTGCTGGTCCTGGGTCTGGCCCTGGTTCTCACCGTCTGTGTGGCCCGGTCTCCGTACCAGGCGGTCCTGCAGCACAGCCGGATCAGAGGCCGTCAGCAGGGGTGAGTTTACCGAACCGAACCTAGCCGAGCAGAGCCGAACCGGGCCGAAACAGAGCCGAGCTGAACCGGGTCGAGTTTATAGTGAAGTTCTGCTGCTGGTCTGGAAATATTCCCATAATACAGATTTCTATATTGATCTGTGTCCAATAATCTCAATAATCAGCTGTTAATAGCTACTATTGATAATCTATTGATATCATTATCATTATTATTATTACACAGCAGCTCAGCTCGTTATTATATTTATATTATTATTATTATATTATTATATAATATTATATTATTATATTAATATATTGATATAATATCTGCAGAGACACAGCGATGATCGCGTTAATACCACCTTTATTTTGAGGACCAACTGCACCTGAAGACTCATTAAATATAAGATAATAATAATTCAAACAAAGTTGTGACTTTAAGGGTTTTACAGATTAATAACTGTTTATAATATTCTCTGTATAACATATCTATATTTATATAATGTCTGTTTTATTTTTATTGTAATACTTTTTATTGAGTTTAAACAAAGAGCACACAGCAGAAATAATTCCATAAGATTAAATATTAATTCAAGTAAAGTCTAATAAAATAAAAAAATAACCCTAAATATATATAGTATGTTAATGAATCATCTGAAGTTTCCACTGTATGTGTCTGAGAGTCGTTAATAATCAATAATCAATAACTCATGTAATGTATTATTATTATTATTATTATTATTATTATTATTATCATACAGTAATAATATGACTCTAATAACTTCATCGTGATGTTAGAAGGAACCAGTCCACCTTAAAAGTCCTTAAACCTTTTAATCAGTTGCATTTTTTATCCCATAAATAATAAAATAAGTGAAGTGAATTAAACATTAAATATTCATATAAAACTGTTCAAACTGCAGAAATATTAGTTTTGATCTCGTGAGTCGACTGTAGTGAAACTTTGTGTTTGTTAAAATGATTTTATTCTTCAGATTCTGGTTGTAGTTCCCAGTTTATGTGAACTCAGTGTTTGGTTCTTCCAAGCATGATGGGAAATAATGTGAGAGCTTTAATGGTTCAGTGAGTTTATACTTTATGAATTATTGTCTCTTCCCTTTCAGACCCAACGTCTGCGCCATGCAGCAGCTCAAAGGCACCAACAAGAAATACTTCACCAACTGCAAACAGTGGTACCACCGCAAGGTCTGCGGGAAACCCACGTGAGTCTGTGGAAACACATTGTGCTCTTGTTTGTGACTGTGCAGCCTGCAGCCGGAGGAATGTCCCTCTCCAGAGGAGCCCTCACCTCTTATATAACCCCTGAAGAAGAACAGAGCTCAGGCTGGCAGAGCCATCAGTGTCAGTTTACCTCCGAGTCCCAGAACCTGCTGAGAGGTTCATCTAGAGGACGCGTTCGCCTCCCTCTGCTCTCTGTGTTTAACGCCACGAGCGGCGGTAATGGCGTGCAGACGCTCTGACAGAGTGAACATAAACACAGCGGGTTCAACCTCTGAATAAAAACCTCCTTTCTGAGGAAGGAAAACTTCTATTTGTTTGCATAAAATCTCCAGAAGCAGCTTTAAATCACTTCCTGTTAGTGCGTTTAAGTGCTTGTGAGAAAGTCTGAAAGAATTTGGAAGAACATTCCCAGTTAATCATTTAATATAATGAAATATATAGTATAATGATATATATAATGATATATATATATATAATTAATATACTATAATGGTATATATATATATATATATATATATATATAATATAATGATATCTTCCATTTAATCCTGTCATTAGTCTTCAGTTTGGTCCCATACAGAAACCAGTACTATCTGTATCTGAAGGTAAACAGACTGAATTGTAGTCCAGGTATCAGATCGTATGAGAGGGGACGGACTCAACAGGTTTTATGTCTGTGATAAAGTCCACTATGTCGAGTCCTTGAGTGGGTCCACAAGGTTTCTGCTGGTTCTTCACAGTGTGCATGTTGTTAATGAGGCTCTGGCAGCAGTGAAGCAGCTGTGTGACAGATTCACTCTGCATGAGCCCGACAGGATTAAACTGTGTGTGTGTGTGTGTGTGAGTGTGTGACAGTAACTGTAATAATTCCTCTCTGGTTGTGTTGAAGCCTGTTTGTGAGTTGAGCAGCAGAGGAAACGTCCTAGAATCCTCCCAAACTGTGTGTAAACAGTCCAGTGTCCCTGCAGAGCCATGGACAGGACGGAGGAGGAGGAGAAGGAGGAGGAGGAGGAGGAAGGTATAGCTGACATGAGGAAGATTTAAGAGACTGGAGGTCAGAGAGTGTTTACACAGGAGGCAGCATACTTTCACTTCAACGGACTGGCAGGACTTTAACTCCGGGGTCCACTACAGCAGCCATTGTACCAAATATAATAATAATAATAATAATAATAATCTGTTACAGGTCTAAAAGAGGAGCGTCAGCCTCATGTGAACCACTGCAGTTATATTTCTGTTAGAATAATCTGTTTAGATTCATACAAAAGGTCCAAATATAAAACTATAAATCAATCCACAAACAGGAACTTTAATCCATTTCCCTTTAATTAATGAATTATTCCAGTGGTCAGTAACCCTGTTGTATGTAGACCGTCAAGTGTTCTCAGAGGGTTCGGGGCATCAAAGCGTTACTTAAGCAGTTACTTCAGTTTATATTGAACGCTGAAACCTCAGACCCCTGGTGGGTGCGGCCCTGCTCACTGGGGGGGGGGCAATCTGAGCCGACACCCAGTGCTTGTGAGGACTGTTTGGAGGTCGGTACTGATGGCAGTATCTGTCTGTCTGTCCACTCTCAGCCTGATCAATAATCCGTCCTCACTAACCTGATCGACCCTCAGATCTCTCCGATTGGTTCTAGTCATTGGTTCAAGTTATTGGTTCAGTTATTGGTTCTGTTATTGGTTCTGTTATTGGTTC